AGAGAAACACAAGTCTTTTTTCAGTCATTTCCATGATGAGTTGTATATAACTGCAGAAGTAATAACCACCCGATAAGTAACAAGAAACTGACATAGCATTGATCTAAAGGTCTATTTAAGCAATAAAGAAGGTGTGGTATAGAAATGAATGTGTAGGAGGTAGGAAATTACACACCTCCATTTCTTCTAAGGCTTCTTGGTAGTGAAAAAAGTTGTGAGGCCCTAGGAAGACTTCTTCAATGTTGCCAAGACTACTTCTGCTGTGTAAACATTCCGACAGGCAGGTACTTCTGTTGATTTCTGCAATGAGCTCTTTATTTTGAATGATGTACCATTGATAGCTGTGGGTAGGGAGCTGCCAGGATTAAGGAAGAGAGAGGAGGGAGTGAGGAAGCAAAAATCTATTTGAAAATTCAACTTTGAACTAAGGGAGACAATTTTAATTTTATGAAATCTTTATATGAGATGTCAGCCCCTTAAATAATATACCATCATGAGTATTTTCCTATGATGTTATGTGTTTAAGATGTGAAAATTTATTTATTTGATGTGAGAGTCCCCTCTGTGTGCTGTGATTACCATTAATAATAAAGAAACTGCCTTGGCCTGTTGATAGGGCAGAAATTAGGTAGGATGGGACAAGTAAGTGGCATGCTGGGAGAAAGGAGGCAGAGTCACAAAGAGACCAGACATGCCAAATCTTTGCCAGTAAGCCACTGCCACGTGGCAATATACAGATTTATAGAAATGGGTTAAATTAATATAAGAGTTAGCCAATAAGAAGCTAGAGCTAATGGACCAAGCAGTGTTTTAATGAATATGATTTCAGTGTGATTATTTCGGGTCTGGGTATCCTGAACTAGAAGCATTTATTTGTTGTCTTTTGAAGGATCTTTAGAGAGGAACCTTGATAATTTATACAACAAAGGTATATAGACTGTATTCATTCTAAGATATAATGCAATGTTTATCACTTTTATAGTGCTATATGTGAAGCAACTATTGATTAATCAATTTGATACTAAAAACAATTAAATAGCTTGACTTGCAGTCACTATCTGTGCAATAGATGGACATCTGTACAATAGAAAGGAGGCTGTAAGTCAGCTAGACACTCAGTGTTCTCTATTCCACAGCTCATGCTTTCCTGGTAAGACCTATTGTTTCCACACTTTCTTTGCACTGCAAAAAACCAGGTTAACTTCATTATAAATTATTAGAGTTGGATCCATATTATGTTTGTCATGAAGTTAGGACAGTCAGATTATCCATAGCTGTTAAACACCAAAAGAGTGTGCACAGCAATTACTAGATTAAGGTCCCCCTGATTATGGAATGGGAACAACTTGTAGGAAACAAATGGACCTTCAGTGATGACATATTGAAGTGAATGGTTTGGTGCTTGACAGCTGGAGATATTTCATAAAATGTCTTATCTACAAAGGCTTTGAACAAAGTATGAATGCCAGTAAGACTGTTAGAAGAAGGGAAGGGTCATAAAGCAACTGATAGCCCTGGAAAATGGCTTTAATGCATTGAAATTGCTTTGGAAGGCATGGAACAGAGGTCCTTATGGCCTCATGACTCACACAGGTCAGAGCAAGAGTTGAACATCTTCCATAGGTAAATAGAAAGCGTGGATTCAGCATTAGTCTGAGATACATATATATACCACAATGTACCTATTTCTTACCAATATAAAATAACTCTTCTGACAAAATAACTACATGACCCTTCACCACAAGTGAGCAGATGGCTTTCTAGGAAAAATTAAAATCATTGTCAGCATGAGTGTAGGTAGGCAGTGAGCAGGAAGGAAGAGCATGATCATAAGCGATCATACTCTGAGGAGTTCTGACCTGTAAAAATAATGATTGGGTAGTAGTGGTGCACACCTTTGGTCTCTGCACTCAGGAGGCAGAGGCAGGCAGATTTCTGAGTTTGAGGCCGGTCAGGACAGCCAGGGATACACAGAGAAACCCTGTCTTGAAAAACAAAAGAAAACCAGTAGGGGAAATATTGCACTCATCATATTCTGGTCTCCAGTTCTGAAGGGGTATACTGGGAAGAGCTGAATCAAAAGAATTTAATCCAGCACCCTTTACATTATGTTTGTTATAAATTACATTTTTCTGAAAACCATGACTAAGTTTAAAGATATTTGATTTAATAATGCTGTCACTGCATCTGATACTTGTTGCCTTCTCTTAACATTATCAGTATAATCTGTTACTTATCTGTAGCATTATGTTATTTGGACTTAATGTAATATGCACTTTATTTCTTCTGTCAAGGTACCATGAAACATTAGCTGTCAGCATCTTTGACTTAGTGAAATAAGAAGTGATATGTAATCAGAAAATCAATTTGCACAGTGTTGATGTCACAGTTTTTGGCAGTCTTATATATAAAGTACTTCAAAAGTATTGTATTTTTTTCCTCCATTTCATTTTGTTCTTTACTGTACAGATCTGTACAAATTTAAAACTACTCCTGTTATTTTTTATATTTTATGATACTTTAAAAATTGACTTCTTCCCTTTGTAAAGGCATTTCTTTTCAAAGCAGCATGTTTAGAAAGTGACTCTGCAATGCTATTCCATTTATTTATTTATTTTATTTATTGAGACATGCTTTGCCTTTCTAGAAATACGATTCATCTCAATAGGCTGAAATCCATCTTCTTAAAAGTAATTAGCTTCTGTCAGTTTCCAGTGTCAATAACTACACACGGAGTTTCGCTCATCTTAATTATTTCTTTGTCTAGCATTTTCTAGTGCGCTGCACCAACTGTTCTGTTAAAGCCCACATTCCACCCTCTGTTTATAATCTCTTCATTCATGAGGAAGTTTTACAAAGCAATAGAAATCTGATTTGTTTAACATGACCAACTCCTGTGACTAGTAAACTCTCCTCTTAGTTTTCACATATTGCGTTGTCCTTGATTTTCAAATTTCTGCCCAGGGTCACTGGATATCCATTGGTCAAGTGTGACCATCTCTCTTCAGGATTTCTTGCTTCTCTTTGAAGCCATGCTAATTACATATTTTCTTTTCTGCCTGTTTTGAGTGGCTGTTATGTTAGGTGGTCCAGTGATAAAGCTAACCAAACATATCACAAAAATTTAAATATAAGTTGATAAGAAAGTAGTCTCACAACTAGAAAGTTGCCAGTAAAGTTACATTAAAGAGAGTGAAAGTGTAGTGAGTGAAACCAAACTATGATGCCGCTGATTCCTTTGAAAACCCAGATCTGCTAAGTGGAAAAAGGGATTGAAGAAGCTTCTTCATTCTTTCCTCCCAGAGAATAACAATAGCGAGAACAATGCTTATACAGATGTGATGAGGCAGAAAATACTTAAACAACATGGCCGAGAAATGTGTCACTCCTGCAAGATAAAAGACATGTTTATTTCTCTGCCTGCACAGAACTGAATCAAATAGCAAAAGGAAAATAAACAGATAAACAGGAGGGTAAAGGCAGGGCATGGAGCTGTACCATCTTCTCTGTCAGCTCCTTCTGTTCCGTTGGTGCCTGTGAATTGATAAAGATTTAGAAGGCGTACAAACACTTAGAAACTTGGACTCTGTGATGAAAAGGGATGTATAAAAATAGCTAAGTAAAATATTTGAAAAAAAAACATTAGATCTGGTTTGGGAATGGGATTATAATATAACCAAAGAACAAAAGAACCCACTCTTACGCTGTCTTCACAGGACAATGACAGCATTGCATACAAGGTTTTTACATGGCAAGAATATACAATCATACATTGGTGTTTGGAATACAGAACAGCTGAATTTTTAACATTTCAGGATCAAAGTTCTTGAAAAATTGAGAAATACTGTTAGCTGAGTACTTTGTTTATTTTGAATTACAGTTTAGGGGAATTTTGATCAGTTTTTTATGTATGAATATAATAACTAAAGGTTCTTTGGGGTTGAAAGAAATTTTAGGTAGAAGAAGAATATAAAACAACTACTCATTTGCATTACAGTCCTCAGTGTGTTATTTTTCTTTTAAATTATATATGAATTAATTTGGAATGAAACTGTATAAAAGCAATGACAAATGCATGAAATTCTAAGTTATTCTTTAATATCTGCTTATTTATTATCTTAATAAATGTCATTTTGTTGGAATTTCATATGTTAATTCAATTAAATTAAAACTGCACAGCAATATAAGAGAAATACAATTAATCACCCCAAAAGCCCTAACAGATTCTCAGGAAAAAATAATACATCAAGTGTTCTTCAGTAGATAATTTCCCTGTGAGTCTGTGAAAAACAGTAGTCATTAAACTTGATCTAGATCATCTTGAAGCTGTCTCTCAACTCTGAGGTTATAAATTATTCAATATGTGTGTCTGTTTTCAATGTTCATTGCTGAAACAGTATACCTAGTACATGAGCATTGTTGGCTGAACAATACTGATAAGCTCAATCCAGTCCCAGAATCTGTTTCAGACATTGGTGAGTTGGTGTTTCTCACTCCCTGACCTACCCTTGTCCCTCCCAAAAATAGAAAAGGAAAGTACAATACATGAAAAGTAAGAAATTGGGGGAAGAGATTTCATGTCCCGGGTTAGATTTGTGCTGTTGGGCAAAACAAAGCACTGGGAAGAACCCTTAGGAAAAACTGCCCCATCAGAAGTAACTCCACAATTACCTTTGACCAAAGAGGAGCCACCCAGATGGGACCTGGCACAGACAGATACTGGAAAATGATGAAATTCAGCACTTAGAGAGATATTTTGATGTGGAGGGTAGAAATTGTGAAGAAGTATTAATTTTCTCATATAATATGTGACATAAGTTACTGGTCTTTTAACTCCTGAACAGACTTTATAAGATGTGCCCTGCATTTTTTATTACTCTTATTAAATTTAGGCTTTTTTCCCTGGGATTTTGGCAAAGAAGTGACCGTCTAAGTAGGGGGACCAGAAGCCCTCCTTTGAACCTTCATTCTAATTTATGGTTATGTTTTTTCATTCTCAGAGCTGTCCTGACTCGGCTTATAATTACAAAGTCTTTTATACCAAGGTCAATAGCAAGGCCATATTTTGGAAAAGAAGATTTTCTACTTGACCAATTCTTTGCAACAATACATTTGTAAAATAAAACATGAACATTACTACCTTTTAAATAAAGTGCATACACCAACTTTCTCTCTCTCTTTGACAACGATAATAGAGTCAATAATTGGGGACAACAGTAGCTGGGACAAACTGAAGATTTGATGGTCATTATACTGACACAACACGCTGGATTGAGTATCCCATCAATGGTCAATGAGCTTTATTTTAAAGAAGAAATGCTTCGATCCCATTTGATTTTTGTTCATTCCCTGACTTCCCATAAAAGTATGCTAAGGGTGCAGCCCTGTGACCCCAGGTGTTATAGTATGACTACTTCCTCCATAATTAATTACCAAACCAAAGGTTAAAGCAGTTTTCTCAGGAGTTGGAAGAATGACAGTGTGCTGCCTTAACATCCTGTGTCTCTTATCAGTCAACAACTTTTGCCTGTAATACAACAGCTAAATTTACTATATTCTTGAGTCTCAATTATACTGTGGCTGGTAGGTGAGAAGACACCAGTAATGTTGCAATTTCAAGAGTTTGTCAAGAGGCAGTGTGGCTGGTTCTCCCAGCAAGCCTAGATGTTTGAGTTATAAACGAATTTCACACACAAGCTATTACAAAAACTGAATGTTGGATGCCATGACAAGATTAACTCCCAACATGTTAGGTTCCAGGAAAGGGGATAGTGAAATAACCATGTCAGTGTGTGCCTTATCAAAACCTGACAGAGGAGGGCAGAAGGTGGTTGAGAGAGAGGGGTGGCCAGGGAGGATGAGGGAGAAAGAGCAAATTAGGCAATAAACTCACACCTGTACTAGAACGAGGGCATTATCAAACATACAGCGTACATGCATCATTTCATAAAAACCAAAGCAAAAAGGACACAGCAAATGCTTTGAGTAGAACAGAGACTGGTTTTAGTACATCATTGTAAGAAGGAAAACAATGAAGTTCTCAGCATCCCTCAATAGTTCCTGCATTGAGGAAGTCATCGGTGGTCACAGACACCCCATTCTATCACAGAACTGAATAGTTCTCAAAGCCAAATTGAAAAGAGGAGCAATTATTTTCTAATTGCCATTGTTTGGTCAATAACAAATTAATTATGGTGATGCTTTACTGATGATCCCAGTTCCCATAAGACAGAGAATTAAAAGGCAATAAGACAGGGCTGAAATTTAACAATTCATTGGTCACTATGGTACACTCATGCCACCATATAAATTGTTTACAAGACAGAAAATATAACTTAACTTCTTAAATTTGTGTCCACATGATAGAAGATTCAGCACACTTTTGTAGACCTACCATGACAGGTTGAAAAATATCTAGAGAAGGGGCAGAAGTCAGTCTCCTCTTTCCTCTGTATTTTCCCAGTTTCTGGAGGTTCTAGTTAATTTAATATGCCCCAGAAATCCTCTTGGTTTAGAAAGTGATTTTAAAATGTGGATGAAATCAACATTGAAATATCACTTCTCATTTGTCATAGTGAAGTATAAAATGTTTGTAGGAGCCAACTGCATTAAGGTTGGGGGCGGCAGGCACCCCCAAAGAATGTTCACATTTTGAAATGTATATTCCTGACTCAGCTCTTCCATTTCTAAAAATACACACTATCAGACAGAATAGACACTATCAGACATATATATATATATGCATATATTATTGTATTTTTTGCTAATAACAAATAGCTAGAAATTAAAGGGTAAAAGGATATTAGGATATTAACAGGAATCTGGAAAGATGGAACACTATTTGAAGATATATATGCGTGATTTGAATATATTGAAAATTACTGGAGTATGTTGGAAGATTAAAAAATTATAAAATAAGCACACACAAAAAAACATTCATTAGGAAAAGTCTTGAGGTATGAAGTATAGCTCATGAAATGATGTATTATATAATGTCCAGTGAAAATCATAAATGCCTATATTAACAAACTTAACGTAAGCAACATTATAAAATTATTAAAATTTCTAAATAATAAAATAGTCATTATACCTATGTCTAAATATATAGAATACAAATTCTCATAATTGTACTATACTTAAGTCTACTGATCATTTATAGAAATATTGTTCTTAACCAACAGAACTAACTAGATAATGATAACAACTCATCAGATGGATGAACTAGATCATTCAGAAGAGCCTCTTTTCAAAATCCCAGTATCTTTCATTCTATTAAGTATAGTCAAAGCTAAATGAACTCATTCTCATCATTTGGCCAATATATGTCTAACCGTTCCTATTTCTAATACACAAACAGAGTTATGGACAAAAGATTCAGTTGTGCGAATAACAACCCATGTCTCTGAGATTTTTGCAGAGATTTGTTTTGGGATTCTCAACAAAGTAGATGGAAGTTATAGGAACACTGAATTAATAAAACAATAAATAAGTAAATTACCTAGAAATACCACCACTTTTGCAATTCAAACATTAATTTTCCATGAGAGTGCTAGTTTTATAATTCTCAGACCACTTCTGGCTTTAAAATAATCTTCTGTGGTAGAGCCAATTCATCCATGTGTAAACCACATCTACTAGGAAAAAAATGTGAAACGCTAAGAAAAGTGACATTAAACAGACCTTATTTTTGAAATTGTAGTTGGTTTGAACCATATCCCACACAAAATAATAATCCTAACATTATGGAGAATTTAAATTATTTTCATTTCTTCTTAAAAGAATCCCTTGGGTACCTATGTTTATTTGTTTGTGAACTGATTTGTTAAGAATGAAGAGTCCTCAGGTAGATTGGAAGTATATACAAATCTATTACAGGGTCTCAAGCTGTAAGAAGTGCAGATCAGGGTTTAAAAATCACAGGAAACGAGTTAGTTGTTTTGTGTATATATTTTCTTTCTGAAAGAACTCACTTAGCTCATTATTCTGAGTAGAAGAATAAATCAAGACAAGAATTTCCTCAGAATAATGAGCTAAGTGAGTTCTTTCAGAAAGAAAATATATACACAAAACAAAGAAAATGCTCTTTGAAAGCCTCAGGCTTAGAATTCCTGGAATTATAGGATAAGATACAGAGGTCAACAGCATGGATAAAGATCAGTAGGAAAGAAGCCAAGGGGAAGAACATGCTGGAACAGCAAGACCTAGTTTAAGAACATCCTGAGACACAGCAAGATCATATATTTGCAATCTCCCAACATCAGAATTAAAAGCATCAAGAAAGAACTACAATACATGGTAGTAGAACAAGGCAAACAATCATCAGCATGTTAGAAAATTACAATGCATGGGAGGAGGAAAAAAGAATATAAATTACTGTTATATAGGAGGATTTCACTTTATAATTTGTTTAGCTTCCCTGCTTAAGAGTATTATTGTATTATTGAGGCTGTCCATAGTGTACAAACACAGACACACACACACACACACACACACACACACACCTACACACAAACATGTACACACACATACACACACACACATGGATTATACTCATAACACTATTCAGTACTTCAATTATGAACAAGTGCAGTGTTAGAGCAAAATATTTACTCTTCCTGAGTATCCAGGATCAAGGAACCAAGGAGTATTCAATATTACAGTGTTTGACAGCACATGTTTTAAAAATTAAGTCCTGCTTGAGTCACAAATGAAAGATGATCAAATTCTACTGAGAAAGTTGGAGAACGCAGCTATCCTTTGAAAACTACTTGAGGAGACTTTGCTGTGAAAGTTGAACTGCAAGCAATTTCTAATGAAAGCTAGGAGTGTTTTATAATTCAAATAAGACCATTGCCAACCTAGTGCTCCTGTATTTATATTCTGCCAGAATTTGCATAAAAAGCTACAGTCCCTTAGGGGAAACTTTGCAATGCCTTGCCAAAATCCATAAAAACGTTCTTATATTGACCCAGGAATCCCACCTTCTGGACTCTCCTTTAGTTAGACAGTCTCACAGTAACACAACAGATGGATTCACAAAAATGTTAAACACAGCCATGTTTACCAACCAGCTGTCATAACTGATCCAAAAGTTTGGCTTGAAACACAATAGTTCGAATAACAAGAAGGTTCTTTGCCAACAGCAAAATGGCACATAAAAATACACAACATATTTAAAATGCATGTATGATATATGATAAGAGTGGTCACTGTGTACCAGTCAACATACACCATAAAACGTGTTAAGAAAGACATGTATGCTTTTATAAACAAAGAGAGGTGTATAAATGATGATTGAAAAGAGACATCCAGCAGTCATTTGGCAGTCCAAAAGAGGGAATTAAAACAACAGGTGTACAGTGGCATACTGTGGTTATGACCATTGGTGAATATTGGAAAACATAGAAGAAAATCAGAAACACTGTGAAATTCAGAGAAAGACAATAGCATGGTAGGATAAATCTACCCAGACTTCACTGCTAAGGAAAGCCAATTGTCCCCTCTGCAGGGATGAAAATGAATCTATCATCAGAGATACTGGCAGTGCTAACTGGGAGCCTAGCAAGATGTGCAAAGCAAAAGCAGTAGTTAACATAGAAATTAATTAAAAGTTATCAAAGTTCAAGGAATAAGTGCCAGTATGATGTTAATCCACATTTGGGACATATATCACTCTCCGCTCACTCTAGAGACTAGTGAGGAAAGATTATAAGATCCAGGAGTAGGGGAAGGGAAGAACAGTGCTTTGTGGGTGTGACAGGACTTCTACATTCATCAGCTCATAGCAGTGATTGTTGTCTACACAAGAACTGCCCACCATCCCACCAGTCAGTATTCTAGCATGGAATGAGGAGGGGCTTATGATTGAAAGTCCTGAGGATCTATTGATCTAATGACAGATAATGACTTCTTGGAGAAAAGGAGTCAGTTTTCTTTAAGGGTGAGGCCCATGGTAGGTCAACCATGCTCCAGTGGATGCACACACACAAATGAGTATATGGGCATCACAAACTGGAATTGATGAGTTACCAAAAGAAAGAAAGAAAAAGGATACAGGGCTGGAGATATGGCTCAGAGGTTAAGAGC